TGTAATTAAAGGAATAGTTCACTTAAAAATGAAAATTCTGTTATCATCTCACCCTTTTAAGTTGTTTTAAACCTGTATGAATTTCTTTCTTCTGCTGAACACAAAAGAAGATATTTTGAAGAATGTCGTAACCAGACAGTTGATGGAGCGCATAGTAGGAAAAAAATACTTCTACTACTACATTCTTCAAAAATATTTTCTTTTGTGTTCAGCATTCATACAGGTTTGAAACAACTCAAGGGTGAGTAAATGATGACAGAATTTGAAATTTTACGTGAAATATTCCTTTAATAAAGAGAAAAAAATCATATGCATAAGAAAATATGAATGAAGAAAATCATCATCACAACCAATGACTGTTTGGATACACCAAGTAGCAAAAAGAATCAAACTTATTCTGTTAACTTTGAATGAAAGTGATCACATAGAAAAACAGAGCAACTCTATTGCAAAATATCCTGTGAAAACCACAGCAGAAATTTGCCAGAATTGACCTGTCTGTCTGTCGTTTGATATCAAGATTTCACATTCCTTACTTCTTACTGATGTGTGTGCTGCTGCTTGCCCACCAAAACCATGTCACTTCCTTGAGGATGTTATTCTGCAACTATTATTACAGGACTGGCTTTTGTTAGTTAAAGGGATTTAAAAAAAAAAAAAAAAAGCTTTAGGAAGACGGTGGGCAATGTGCATTTAAGTAGGTAAATATAGGAGGAATACATCAAAGTCAGTTACAAAAATGTCCTTTATTATGTTGATAATAGCATGCTTTATAGTAGAAGAAACACCTGAAATAATTTTTAATGAATCCGATTTACTTTGTAAGTTTTTCATTGTAGCAGCAGGAGAAATTACAAAACGAACATCCACTCTAACCAAAGCAGGAAAAAAATGATTAACTTGTGATTTTGATTAAAGTTGAAATATAATATTATTTAAAAACGATAAAATAGTGAGGTTAATACAGAATGCTTGAGCTGGACTGTAGGCTTCAGGTGTGTTACTGTCCGCGAGCTCTTGCACGCGCGTGGGCGTGACCCTCTGACGCTTCGTGCCGCCGGACAATAAAGACGCGCATGAGTCTGAGAGCGCGCACACAGTGACTGTCACTGACTGAACACACACACACCGCTGGATCACAGAATATCAGCCTACATTACAGTATTAACAACATGGGTAAGTGCGTTTCACACTCTATTCATGTTTATAAACTTTAAGATTCTATGAATGAAGTCATTTTTGTTTTATATTTTGTTTTAAATCTGTTTTGCATAACACTATAAAAAGTTAACTTGTGCAGCAGTTGCCAATATGAATTTATTTATTTATGATCTGGCCTTAGTGCAACCTAACGTAGGCTAATGCAAAATAATTATGTAATCTTAAATAATATATTTAAATAAGCCAGTAAATTTGATGTTACCACCATTTTAGGTTACCTGATGTTTACATGGAGTGCATGTGTCCTACTTTCATTAATTCTCATTCATTTATTCATTAATTTAGTGTGTGTGTTTGCACGCTCCATGATGGGTCAATCACATGTTGATTGTTTACAGCAACTACTGTATTTATTTGCAGTCTTTTCATACCATATTGGTTGCGAATGTTCATTTTCTAGCAGTTTTATTGACTGTTGTTCTTCATCACCCCTAAGGAAGCTGAGATGTTCATTTAAGCATCTCTGCTCTGTGTGAACAGTGATTATTTTCACAGTTTTGGGGTTTTAAATGGCATGTCATGAGTGGCGGGTGTGGTGTCTATTTTCCTGTTTGCTGTGTACTGTAGTTTCCACAGTATGTAAACGTTGCAGTGAATGAGGTTCTGTAGGACGAGCAAACATGATGTCTTAAGATCTACAGACAGCTGTTTACATGCACTCCACTAAAAATATTTACCAATGATTAAAATAGTACACCAGTGACCCAACCATAAATGGAAAAGTACCGCAAAGAATTTCATAAGGGAGGAGAGTCAAAGACTCATTATTTATCTCACCTACTTAAAATCTTCTTTCACTTGTTTGTTGTTCTGCTATTCATCCGGTCACTTGTTCGTTTAAATGCAGACAGATGTTTTTGAGGCTCGCTATAGTTTATCCTGGCAGACAGTTCAGTCTACATACACTCAGCATATCACCAGCATCAGTCTGAAAGCTAAACAGAGGCGTGTAAGCCAGCAATGACACACACACACACACACACACACACTGATGGAGGCGGCATCTCTTTAGACCAGGATTAAAGATTACGACAGAAGGTTTACTGAGAGAAAACAGAGAACACCCCACTGCGCACATTCCCCATTAAACACACACACACACACACACACTTTCTATCTGGCCTGAGACTAATTTTCTCACCGCAGGGTTGGTTTACAACGTACTAAAGAGAGAAACTTGATCCGCATTCCCATGAGTCTTTGTGAACCTTCCTCTTTGTCTACTTTCAGATAGATAGACAAAGACTCCCCAAACTTTACTACATTAATATCACTTAACCCAGATGTTTAATAAAGATCAATCACAATTTTGTAGGTATTATAATGATGTCATTGCAGAAATTCCATCTCATTATTACAATATTTGTTGTATTACAGTTTACACCCCAAAACACTTCAGGGCACAAATAAAACACTGTTTAATGACATTATAATAAGGTTCATTAGTTAACGTTAGTTATATGCATGAGCAATACATTTGTTACTGTATTTGTTCATCTTTGTTAACGTTAGTTAATACAAATCCAGCTGTTCATTGTTTGTTCATGTTAGTTCACATTGCATTAACTAATGTTAACAAGATTTTAATAAAGTATTAGTAAATGCTGAAATTAACATTAACAAAGAAATGCTATATAAGTGCAGTTCACTATTACTTCATGTTAACTAATGAACCTTATTGTAAAGTTTTACCAATATATTAATTATAAATAAAAATTTCAAGTAATTAAAATGTAAAAAAAAAAAAGCATAAGGAAAGGATGAATGAGAAATGATAAATTGAGGTGATCTGAACTGAGAGTCAGAGGTCAGTGAGTTCAGACATGTCTCAGTCAAGTGTCCTTGAAGACGCATCTGTTAAACATCAACATGCTTCACATGAGCTGTGCATTCTTCACCAGATGCTCTTATTAGAAACATTCATGCAGACCTGAAACACACACACAACAGATCCAGCACTTCATGTCAGTGTGATCCTGGATCTGTGCATTGTGCAAAAACTTCACATTAGACAAGAGGTTCCCAGATACACTGAATCATGGCTTGATTGTTGTGCTTTTTTATTCGTTTGCTTACAACTGACACACTTATTGTGTCTTTTACAGCAGGGAAAGTAAGTGAAATTCCTTTTTTCCCCAGTGTGTTTTCCCCCTTAACTTCACCTTTAATGCGGTCAAGCCTCGCCTTCTTCAAGTATGTGCAGAATGTAAACAGAGCTAATAGGGAATTTAAGCTCTTGTCTCCTAAAGGCTATGGATGGTACTCATAAATGATGGTCAGCAGGAGGTCAAGCAGTTTGCTCTAAATCTGGTCACTAATGAGTGCAGAAACCAGGCGTCAAGGTTTGTATTTTTAGAAGAACCTTGGAGTGCCATGCATTATGAGAGTGCTAATATATATATATATGCTTTTCACAGCCCCTTTTACTTCTGTAATTTGATAGGTCATAGTAAATCTGGATATTTAAAGAGGCATGTAGGATGAGTCTTAGTTTAATCCATTGGGAATTGATTGGATGGTGAAATGTGTCGCTATAAATAAGGGTTAGATGGGGTTTTGTCAGCCAGATGGGGTTGTCAACTAGAGCTGCATCATTTCGGTTATTTCACCTATACAAAAGGATATATAATTCAAGTCATTTGTTTCATTCAATGAATCAGCGTTTTTGAATGAATCGGTTGAATGAATGATTCAATGACTTAGTCATAATAACAGTCGCTTGTTTCTTTCCTGAATGAAGTGTTTTGAATTAAGCTGTTGAACGATTGAGACTCATGGATAAATGCAGTACAGTATCTTATCTCTACTTACTGGCAAAACGATTTAACATGCAAGAAGAGTCACTGTAAAATCCACAACACTAATACACAGACGGACAGTTTGTCTTGAGCAAACATCAGATTGGATTGGAGGATTGTCGTATAAACTTGTATAATGATAGTTTTTTTATCGATAAAGCTTGATGTGTGTGGTCATGTTCGTGCATGGAGAGCTGTATAGATCTCGATCCTCTGTTCATCCAGCTCTAGACATCGGCACCTGGGATCTGGCGTGTAAGTTCAATAACACGGACCACCACACGGAGCTGAACGGCACGGATCGGCTGATCGTACGGCGAGGACAAGCCTTCACCGTTAGCCTGTATCTGAACTCTGGCTCTTACCAGCCTGGATCCAGTCAGATGCACATCACTGCAGAGACAGGTAATGTGGCGCAACGGCTCAGGTGTGTGTGTGTGTGTGTGTGTTTACAGAGGCCGAGGAATTTAGAGTGGTTTTTTGAGGTCAGGTTTGAAAAAAAAACATCAGTGACTGACCAGTAACCACGTTTGTTAGTACCAGGGAGGACTTATATCATCTTTGTAAGCCACCAATGTTTATGAAATTGTTGTTTGTC